TAAACTGAATTTTGATTTTGGAACGATTTGCAGCAAATACCATCGTCACCAAAAGTAACTGGGTACATTACTGACAGTTAAAAAAAGATCACCGCCATAAATAGCTATTTCGGAAAAATAAAAGGCTGTCCCTATAATTTACGACGTCTGTCAAATTTGTTCACTTGAAAATAGGCGCCATCCTTGTCTCATCGATTTGCACTGTCATGTCAATATAAAATCATTCGGAACACATTTCACTGCTCCGAACATGGGCGCTCGAGCAAACGAGCTTGATTATCGGTATTTATTTATGACATAAATAACTATTTTTGCAAGCGATTCCCATTTGTAAATTCAGTGCGTACTTAGACTATTTCTGTCTTTTTCTAGAAGCACGTGAAAAAAAAAGGATCGAAATTAGTTTTAACTAACAGGGCTTCTTGCGGGCTCTGTTTGTCTATTTGTACCAAAGTTACACCAGTCTGCACCAGGTGCACCAAAAAGTCAGTTTGTCTCTGTCAGACCCATACAAAAAAAAAATATAGGAATAAACCTTGGATAAACAAACACGTTTGGTGTAGAAAGTGTCGGTTGGTGCCTTGTTGGTGCGAATAAACAAACAAAGCTAGTGAAACCAGGGACGACCGTTCTCTTCATAGCCATTATACTCGATGCGCTTTGCACTCAAATGCTTGAAAATCAGTTAGGTACAGGTGCATCAGGAAAAAGAGGCGAGGAAAATGAGAGCAGCTTCAGAGCACCTGATTGCTCAAAGCGTACGTGGCACCCGAAAGCAGCTCAGGCTGAGGTAATGGAGCAGAACTCGCCGATCATGGAGCAAAACGGAGCGAAACTCGGAGAACAGAATGAATATGATCAAACAAAATTTTAATTGGTGTAAGGGGGCTAGAAGAGATTCTTAGGAGCTCGTAGGTCATTCCAGGTAATGGAGCAAAACTTCCAAATTTTCACACGTGTTGCAAAAAGAGATTCCTGGGAGCTGTCTAGTTCATTCCAGAGCCGCTTTCGGGTGCAGTGTGCGAAGCACGAGCATTTCACGCCCATTAAACCCAATGCGCTTTGCACTCGAACGCTTGAAAATCAGTTACAGGTGCTTCAGGGGAAACAGGCGAGGAAAGTGAAAGCAGCTTGAGAAACTATGTTCGCTCGAATGTGTAAAATTGGAGGCGGAGTATTTCGGACTAACTCGAAATTTCAAGTTTCAAAATTTTCACTGGGGGGCAAGAAGAGATTCTTTGGAGCTCTCTAGGTCATTCCTGGTAATGGAGCAAAACTCGCCGATAATGGAGCAAAACGGAGCAAAACTCGGAGAACAGAATGGACATGTTCAAATTTTTAAAAAAATTCACCGGGGTGGGGCTAGGAGAGATTTTTGGAAGTTCTGCAGGTCTCTCCTGGTAATGGAGCAAAACTCGCCGATTATGGAGCAAAACGGAGCAAAACACGGAGAACAAAATGAACATGTTCAAATTTGAAAATTTTCACCGGGGGGGGCTGGGAGAGATTCTTGGAAGCTCTGTAGGTCTCTCCTGGTAATGGAGCAAAACTCGCCGATAGTGGAGCAAAATGGAGCAAAACTCGGAGAACAAAATGAGCATGATCAAATTTCAAAATTTTCACCGGGGGGGGGGGGGGCTGGGAGAGATTCTTAGAAGCTCTGTAGGTCTCTCCTGGTGATGGAGCAAAACTCGCCGATAGTGGAGCAAAATGGAGCAAAACTCGGAGAACAAAATGAGCATGATCAAATTTCAAAATTTTTACCGGGGGGGGCTGGGAGAGATTCTTGGAAGCTCTGTAGGTCTCTCCTGGTAATGGAGCAAAACTCGCCGATAGTGGAGCAAAATGGAGCAAAACTCGGAGAACAAAATGAGCATGATCAAATTTCAAAATTTTCACCGGGGGGGGGCTGGGAGAGATTCTTGGAAGCTCTGTAGGTCTCTCCTGGTAATGGAGCAAAACTCGCCGATAGTGGAGCAAAATGGAGCAAAACTCGGAGAACAAAATGAGCACAATCAAATTTCAAAATTTTCACCGGGGGGGGGGGGGGCTGGGAGAGATTCTTGGAAGCTCTGTAGGTCTCTCCTGGTAATGGAGCAAAACTCGCCGATAGTGGAGCAAAATGGAGCAAAACTCGGAGAACAAAATGGGCATGATCAAATTTCAAAATTTTCACCGGGGGGGGGGGGGCTGGGAGAGATTCTTGGAAGCTCTGTAGGTCTCTCCTGGTAATGGAGCAAAACTCGCCGATAGTGGAGCAAAATGGAGCAAAACTCGGAGAACAAAATGAGCATGATCAAATTTCAAAATTTTCACCGGGGGGGGGGGGGCTGGGAGAGATTCTTGGAAGCTCTGTAGGTCTCTCCTGGTAATGGAGCAAAACTCGCCGATAGTGGAGCAAAATGGAGCAAAACTCGGAGAACAAAATGAGCATGATCAAATTTCTGAATTTTCACTGGGGGGGGGGGCTAGCGTTAATTCAGCCCCCCCACCTAATAGGCCACATAGTCTCTCCACTGTAATGGAGCAAAAATCGAAATTAGTGGAGCAAAATGGAGCAAAATGAGAGCAAAATTATGGGATAATTTTCATCCAGAAATTTTTCATGGGGGGGGCTAACTTAACTGACCCAAAAAAATATACAAGACAGGGCGCGCTTTCGTTCCGTTCGTGCGAATTTAAAAATAGAAAAATGAGTAGATATTTATCCTAATTTAGAAAATTGGGTAGGTATTTTTTAATTGAAGTTTATTTTCTTTCCAAAATTTTAATTTTATTTTCTTGCTTGATTTTTGGAGGCAGTGCGCGCGCACGAGCGCACTTATTGAGAAGCCGCCCCTGGTGGGTTGGCTAAAAAATTCCTGGCCAGACTATTATTAATAAATAATTCAAAAATTATAATTGTTAAAGGCATTGCACTCATTTGTTTACCGAACAAATTTCATAGTAATCGAAAGTATAGGGCCTAAAGAATATAAAAACGTTGAATTGTCTATTTTTTTCCTGGCATAACTATCGGGTTGGCAGGTTTGAACAGGTGAGTCGATACTAGTAATTCACACCCATCTGTTTAATGAATAAATCTTACATCAAAAAAAAAATAATTTTATTGCGAACACGATGATATAGGGTTGTCGGCGAAAAATCTGGCCTGAATGACGGTTGGCGAGCTTTGAAAAGCGAAATTTTGGTGCGGATGGAAATATGCGACAGAGTGGTGTATGATTTATACATTGAACAGATGGGTGTAAATTACTAGTATCAACTCACCTGTTCAAACCTGTCAACCCAATAGTTATGCCAGGAAAAAAATAGACACCCCAACGTTTCTATATTCTTTAGGCCCTATACTTTCGATTACTATGAAATTTGTTCGTTAAACAAATGAGTGCAATGCCTTTGACAATTATAATTTTTGAATTATTTATTAATAATAGTCTGGCCAGGAATTTTTTAGCCAACCCACACCTGATATATTTTTTAACATACTAACTTTGATATAAAATACTTTTCACCCAATAAACAGATGGGTGCAGATCCTTTCCTATTCGGATCTTCTACTATAAGCAGAACCCGATAAACTAGACTTTTTAAAATAGAACACAAAGTTCCATAAACAAGCAAAATTGACTGTCACATCATTGCATGCAGTCTACGGCATCACACGTAGTTTTTTAATTCATGCCGGTGGTTGTCAGAGGGTAGGGGGAATGAGAGGGGAGCCACGCAACTTCTGCCGCCAGACCGCGCTTTGTTGTGTTAAAACGGCTCTAGTTAGTTTATTATTGAAAATAGTTCGGTATATAATTGAGACGAAAGAAAGCCAATTAAATTTGCCAGTTTTTGAGCAAAAAATTAAGTTAATACTCCAATATATAAAGGAGTTATCGCAGGTTAAAGCAAACATATATTTTACTCATTCGCGCCGTGCCTACGAAATAACTGATTTTTTGAGCTCTACTTTAATATTTTTCGAACAATATATACACCATATTAAAGAGAATATATTTGTCTAGAATCTAGAGCAAAAATAATTTTATTATCTCAAGCGGTTTAGAAGTTATACGAGGTTAAAGTTGGAAATTGTAGTTTCCGTATATTTTTAGTTTTTTGCTCCTAACTTAGCTCTCGACTCTCGACCAATGCAAAAAGTCGTCCATTTTCATTTTATATGCAGAAAAATATGCTGAATCATTTGGTACTAGTCTTAATAAATTATACCTCAATAACGGGTTGCTCCTTAAAAACGAAGGCTTTTGCGCGCTTGGCCGCCGTCCTATTATGAAAGTATTCAATCACCAGTTGTGATTAGGGATGGCAACGATATATCGATTATTATTTTTTATCGATATATATCCAACATATATCGATATATAGGTATCGATATGTGGCTTGCGATATATATCGAAAAAAATCGATATACTGGAAAATATATCGACTTTTTTTCGCTTACGAATACCCACCAAAAAACAGCTAAAATTTTTCATTTACAAAAATAAGGTGAACAATTTTTTTATTTCGACGATTTTCGAAAATTCTGTGATGTGCCACAACACGATTTACACGAATACCACAATAGATGTCACTGCCGCTGCTCAGTCCACTGACGCCAGGGGCCCAGGTACACTCCTTGATTTTTGAGCTTTCTATCATTCTATCTTTGTTCAGGCAATGAAGAAGAGAGAGACAAATATAATCCGAGATCGTTGTACTCTCGACTTGTCATTAATTATTTTGAGCGCAACCCTCAAAAAGTAATTTTTTATTTGTGTGTGTATCAGCTGATTGCAAATTGAAAGGTCAAGGCAAGGCAAGTATCGTGTATCGTTTTTTTCCCTTTGCATTTGCAAATCAAACTGTTTTTTTTTGTTTTTGCTATTGTGATTTTATGCTCAGAGACAATCAGAGAGATAGAATAGATAATACTGATAGTGATAATAGATCTTTATAAAATCTCGTAGTCCTAGGGTGCAATTAAAGTGAACAATAATTATCGAATCATGGCTCCGAAATCAATAATTTGGAGGTTTTTTATTAAAATATCCAAAGAACAAGCTAAATGCAATCTGTGTTCAAAAATCTTAAAAACCTCTGGCAATACTACAAATTTAAAAAATCACCTCAAACAGAAACACGACAAGGTTTACAAACAATATTGTGACAGTGGTACTGACAAGGAAAATGAGGACAAGGAAACCGAGAAAATTCCAGCAAAAAAACAAAAAATGCAGGTCAGTAACTCAGTAACCACTGGATTTTACTCTACACTTTATTGACATTTTATAACAATATTGATCCCAATTGATTTTATTTTTAAGGATCCTAAAGAAAAAGAAGGGGCTATTTCTCCCTCATCTACTATAAGTTCAATAGCAGACGTCGAAATAAATTTAGGAGCCTCCACTTCAATCAGCCCCTGTTGTAGTACTGTTACCAATCCTAGTACTAGTACTACCAGTTCCGAGTGCAGTACTAAAAAATTGCTAATTTCCCACCAAGGAAGTAAATCCACAGAAACTATTTTGAGAGAGCCAAGTATAAGTACTATAAGTAGACAACCCACCATAAATCAAGCCATTCGTCAAGTTGCTTCTTACTCAGGTACCTACCTACTTTAAGCTTTAATTTAGTTTCTTAGTCTTTAGGACGTTAAATGCATAAATGTCATATTATTACTTTTGCAGAAGGTGGATCCAAAAACGTCAAAATAACTGAAGCCATTGTCAATTTTATAGTCCAAGATAATTTACCATTCAACACAGTTGAGAGGAAAGGTTTTTTAAATCTAATGAAGGAGCTAGCGCCACTGTACAAGGTTCCGACTCGAAATTGTATCAAAGACAATATTGACAGGAAGTATGACATAGTGTCCGGTGGTTTTAAGAATACACTGCAAAATATAAAACATTTTACATTTACCACGGATATATGGACAGCTGATATGCAAACGAAAAGTTTTATGGGGATAACTATCCATTTTATTAAAAACCATGAAATGCATTCTGCTACATTAGGAGTAACTGAGCTCTCGGAATCACATACTTCAGTTTATATTGCCACCCAGCTAAGTAATACTTTCAATGAATGGAACATTGATGTTAATCGTATTGTAGCAGCTGTGACAGATAATGGAGCCAATATGGTTAAAGCCTGCCAAGATTTCTTGGGCAAAACAAAACATGTGCCATGTTTTGCACACACTATAAACTTAGTATGTGAACAATCCATAAAAAATACTGGACATTTGAATGAACTAATTGAAAAAGTTAGGACCATTGTAGTTTGGTTTAAGCGTAGTGTGCATGCTAGCGACGAGCTTCGAAAAGCGCAGAAAAATAGAGGAATTCCAGAAGGTAATATTCTAAAACCAATTTTAGATGTTAAAACCAGATGGAATTCAACTTATTATATGTTGGAAAGATTTATTAAGCTTGCTGCACTTATTGGAAACATCATATTATCTAATGTTAATGCCCCCAATATGTTAAATGCTGCAGAACTTGAAGATATAAAACAAGTTTGTCAGCTTCTGCTTCCATTGGAGCAAACTACAAAAGAAATGAGTGGACAGATGTACATTACCCTAAGCAAAGTAATACCGATGACAAAGTGTTTGGTGTCTCAATATGAAAATTTTCAAACCAATTCCAATATTGCAGAAGCTTTGAAAACTGCCATATTAAAAGAACTAGACAAAAGATTTGGGACAACAGAAAAATGCTTTTTACTAGCTGCCACTACAATTTTAGACCCAAGATTCAAAAACATTCATTTTAAAGACCCAATTGCTTTGTCAAATATCATTCGACATCTGAATCATGAAATGACTATCCCAATACAAGCAGAGGAGGATGCATCATCTTCTTCTTCTTCGGATCTTTCAGAGCAAACAGAAGGATCTGAGCAAACATTTGATTTATGGGCTCCCCACAAAAATATTGCTCATTCAAAAAAAAGTAAGAAAGGCCAAAAATCTGACGAACTGACACAATATTTGTCCATACCAGTGCGAAATTTGAAAGAAAGCCCTTTAGAAGTTTGGGAGGAGATGAAGGCAGTTTATCCACAACTTTATAAGTTGGCACAGAAGTACCTCTGTGTTCTAGCAACGTCTGTCCCTAGTGAAAGATTGTTTTCGAAAGCTGGTCAAATAGCTACAAAAAATCGCAGCCGTTTAACTGGCAAAAGATTATCCAAACTTTTGTTTCTAGAATCAATTTGTGAAAATTAATTTTTTGTGTTACTCCACATGACTATGAAATATGATTAATAATATTAATATTTGTAATAACTAATAATTATGAAATATATATACATAACAGTTTTTGACTTACATAACCTTAAAAAGTGAAAATAGCTTTGAATCTAAAAAAAAATTGTAGATACTCAGCTTAGGTATTTATTCAAGATTAAAATATTTTTTTTCAATCACAGGATGTGTTTTTATTTTTTAATGAGCTAAAATTCCTTCTTAGTTTTTCATATGTTAATATCTTTTTTAATTTAAAAAAATATATCGATATATCGTTTATATCGATATATTTACTTCGATAAATTTATAAATCGATATAGGGATTTCGATATATCGATAAAACCGATATATCGATATATTAAAATCATTTGCCATCCCTAGTTGTGATTTACCTTCAGGGGCGGATGGGGCCCATCAGACCGGCGCGGGAAGTCCATCGAAACGGCGCCGCGCCTGTCCAGCAAAAATAATTGAAAAGCACAAGCGAACGACTTTTGCGCATAACCTTCTCTTGAGTTGAATGAAGACAAGACGACGAAATTACTCTAGCCGCCGGTAATCGGAGCTGCGCCGCTCGAAGGTTCTCACAGAAATCACAAACGAGTCGGAGTGTTTTTGATTGGTACAAATCGCCAACAGCCAGTTTTCCGACTATTTTCAACCAATGAAATTTGCTCCGACTGGTTTCTAATTTCTGTGAGAACATACCTAATGTACTGACGAGACTCTCTTGTCACCCATCTTTTTCTACTCCATTATGCATGCAATCAATCTGGGATAGTAAACACAGGCAGACGAACGCGAAGATGCCTTAAAACGTAACATAGCAAGCCATGCAAGGTGCCACGAAACATTAGGAATAGTATGGGCGCCTACGGCATGCATCATACTTATGATTTATAAATAAAGACAAGACGACAAAATTACTCTATTCGCCGAAAATCTGTACCGCGCCGCTCGAGTACGGAGATGGGACTCTTGTCCACCCGTCTTTTTCTACTCTATTATGCATGTAATTTGGAATAATAAAAACAGGCAGACGAACGTGAAGATAGCTCAAAACAGAACATAGCAAGCAATGCAACTTGCCATGAAACATGAAACATTAGGAATGGTATGGGCGCTTACGGCATGCATATTTATGATTTACAAGTTGCATAGTTGCAAAGTTTCCTGCCAAATCAATCAATAAATAAGCTATCTGCCTTTTTTTTCCAATCTTTTTCGAATTTCCCGCGGCAGAAGAACCGGCGCACCGGGAAATCTCCCTGTATCCCGGTGGGCCCATCCGCCCCTGTTTACCTTTATCTTGTTTTAACTGACTCTAAAAAGACTATACCATCATCCATTTAATTAATAGCTTGACAAATATTTGACACTAAGGTCCAGTTGTACAGTCCAGGTTCAAACAGAGGTTTAGTTGAACTCTACTGGTATTTGAACTTTACGATTTGAATTGCATTGCTGTCAAGAAATATATATTTTGGCATATTTCTGACAGCAATGCATTTCAAATGGGAAGGTTCAAGTACCAGTAGAGTTCAACTGAGCCTCTGTTTGAACCTGGTTTGTACAACTGGGCCTAAAAATCATATACCTTATAGTATAGTCTGGCAAGCGGTAACTTGATAAGAGTTTTATTCCTTTCAAGGGTTTGAAACACTCGAGCTACTCGCTCCGGTGCTTAGTCGCCCCCGATTTGCAGGGAACAGATGCGTGGTGCAACAAACACTTTTCGAAAGGAATAAGCGCGTGAAGCACCGGAGCTGTTCCGGAGCTCCTCCTAGGTGTGAAAGGAATACAACTAAAGACGAAAGGGGGAAGAAAAGTGGGGCGTAACCTAAGAATATTCACTAAACTGACACCGCGTGATGACAACCATGTCTTTGGGTTCAGTGGCACCGAAAATACCAAGGAATTAAACCAATAAAATTCTTAGAAAAAAAAATCCTGTGCAGTTCACACCCGGTAGAAGTGAAACCTTCATCGAACTGCATGCATTACACACATACTAACATACACAGTGGCGTCCTCCCCCCTCCAAAAGACTTTAGAAAGAACGCAAATAAATATACTTTAAAAAAACTAAAATACACGCTGGGGTGCTTTGTTCCACATTCTCATACATTGAGCACCCTATGCTTTTTTGACAATAATTCTAATATTTTTTGTTCATTAATATTTTCTGTTTATATTAAAAATTATTTTTCACTTTTTAATTCAATTTACTATAAAAGCGTGTTTTTTAGTTTTTTTAAAATATATTTATTTTTCACTTTTTAGTTCGATGTATTATAAAAGCGTGTCAGCCCCAAAGATTTCCAGACTTTTCCAGACATTATCCAGACTTATTCAGAGTTTTCCAGAGTTTTCCAGGTTTCATCCAGATGTATCCAGACTTGTACAGACTGATCCGGATTCTGGAAAATGATCCCCAGGTCTTTTGGGACCTTTGGCAGAATTTTTCGACCCTTTCCAGAAATTTCCAGGCTCTTTCCAGAGATTTCCAGACAATATCCAGACTTATCCAGAGCTTTCCAGAGTTTTCCAGACTTCATCCAGATTAACCCAGACTTTATCCAGACTTATTCAGACTGATCCGGATTCTGAAAAATGATCCCCAGGTCTTTTGGGACCTTTTTCAGAATTTTTCCAACCCTTTCCAGAAATTTCCAAGTCTTTTCCAGACGTTTCCAGAGATTTCCAGACTTTTCCAGACAATAACCAGATTTATCCAGAGTTTTACAGACTTTATCTAGATTTATCCAGACCTTATCCAGACTTGTACAGACTCTGATCCGGATTCTGGAAAATGATTCCCAGGTCTTTTGGGACCTTTTTTTCCAGAATTTTTCCAACCCTTTCCAGAAATTTCCAAGTCTTTTCCAGATGTTTCCAGAGATTTCCAGACTTTTCCAGACAATAACCAGACTTATCCAGAGTTTTACACACTTTATCTAGATTTATCCAGACCTTATCCAGACTTGTACAGACTGATCCGGATTCTGGAAAATGATCCCCAGGTCTTTTGGGACCTTTGGCAGAATTTTTCCGACCCTTTCCAGAAATTTCCAGGCTTCATCCAGATTACTCCAGACATTTTCCAGGCTTGTTCCAGCTCACTTGGCTTGTTCCAGGTTCTTGTTGTGTGTTAATATAAGCGTGTTAAAAAAGTGTTGCTTTTTCGTTTCAGGGTCGCTTTTTCGTTTCATCGTCTCAAATCACTCCCAACGATTCCAAAAAATTTTTTACTTCAAAAAATCCTTAGTTTCGCCAATAACCACGCCACTGTGCTGTCGTTCAGGCTCTAAGCAATAGAATCATGCCTCTGAATAATCACGCCTCTCCACATGCATCATTTCGCAATGATTTTTTTCTATTTCAAAATACTACACATGCCCATATTGCAAAAACAAAATATGTCACCAACTTGTTCATTATTGTTTTCGTCAAGTTTGGTAAAGCAGCAAATTCTATTGCAGTTTGCCCTTTGGCAAGCCAGACTATACAAGAGCTAATGATGCTGTTGTGAACCAGTAAATTCATCATTTTAATAATAAAAGTTATGTTCATTATGTTCACTACATTTCCTCTCTTCAACAAATTCCACCATCTGTTTAGTTTAGTCCCTTACAAGAACTGCCGGCTAGAATTATTATTATTACAACCAATGTCCTGTAAACATTGTAAACACCAATAGGTATCCCAACAAGATGTTTCCATTTGTCGATACTCAGTACCTCTATTGCAGGAACCCAAATTATTGTAAATACACATAAATAAATATAACCCATGGAGGATGTTCTTGCCGCCAAGGATAGAGTAGAGTACTTTTCCCGGATCTAATTCTATTATTCCAGATGGTGAGAATTGCTTTGAAAATTATAAACTTAGTTGTCCTTTAGGTGAGATCCCAATAAGGTTACCTTTTAGATTTTAGAATGGGCTCTTTCACTAAAATTTAAATACGTAATTTAAGTATAAAATCTCAAAGGAGGGACTATTTTAGGCATATATACCAAAAAAAAAATGTTCTACAAGGTTCAATAAGTTTTTCATAGGCAATCAAAAGTGCCTAAATTCAAACTATTTTAAAACGCGCCGATTTGCCGACGTCACATAAATATTCTCCATTTCGCTTATGTCGTTGCAAGGAGGAAGGGCTCGGCTGTGTTTGCGCTCTGTAAAGATACGTAAAGGTTCGAATGCGCTGTTGTCGGTTGTGACTAAATGTAGTGCAGCGTAAAATAAATAAATAAAACTAAACATAAAAAATTGCATTAAATTGTATTTAAGCATAATTTAAAAAAAAAATGTTATAAAATCTTGAATCTATAACTAATTAATTTAACTACTTTTCATGAGATTTTGCCAACATTTCAGAATTAAATCTATTACAAATTTTCAATGTTGACAATTAGTGGCAACACGGTCAAATTGCGAGCTGCGACGTCATAGAAATAAATTCTGGGTTTTTATTTGGAGGTATTTCTTTGTTTTCTGTTTTCTCAAGAAGGACTTTGAATTTTTCAAAAGTAAAAATACAGAAAATTCTGTTTTTAGTTGCTTTATCCAAATATGCCAATTTCAAAAATTAGTGAAAGAGCCCATTGGAGTAGGCAGTCGCTTTTTAAGATCGATAGCGAACAGTCGGGTTGTAGCAGTCGCACTTACCTATGTAAAATCAGTTTCGTTCAGAGTTAAAATAAACTAAACCTTCATTTCGAGTTTTACTTCTTACTTTATTGAAATATCGGATAATAGGTAGGTACAAGGCCTAGAAATAATCCGAGATTATACTACATTGGAGCCAGCGGAAAACTCCGAGTTTCTAACATAAGATCCCTAACAATGCTGTCCCCGTTACTTTTGGTGACGATGATACCTACTTATGTGAACTTGCTAACCTGTTCAATAAGGTACCCCTCAATTAATTTTCAACTTTATTGGCTTCTGAAGAAGTTGTGTTTTGATGGAGTTGATTCGTTTTTGCCTAAAATTAGTTCGTAAACCTTAATTAAATTCACACATCCTGGATCGAAGACGACATGGATTAGAACATTTCTCATTGTTCCAGTAGGTAGTTGTCCGGGCAGATGGAGATATTCTATCCATGATTCTGTAGATAATTATGTGGAAAATGAGTTTCCTTATCTTATTTCTCAGTTTATTTGTATCGTCTCAGTTACTCGATGGCCAACTGTGATTTAAGTTTTGCGTTTTCAATTGATATCAGAGGTTGATCGACTCCTGTTTTTCTGGTAGAATGCCTCGTTAGAAATCCTTATTGCCTCTTATTTGGATAGTCAGTCATCTACTCCAATAAACAAACCAGCAACCACGACTCTATATCTCATTATATTTTTTTGCCCTCTATAAATAATTGGGAATCATCTCATCATGTTATTTCCATTCTTCCATTGCTCGTCGCTATATTGATCGTTTTTTTTTTTTTTTGAATAGACTCTATCCTGGATCTACTTTAGTTATTGTGTACTCTAGTCTTTCACTTGCACATGAATAATTTAGGTACCTACTTAATCATAAAATATCCTGATAATATCTGAATATAGTATTTTTTCCCAAGTTGCAAGCAGATAACAGTTTTATTTTTCATTATTGATAATATTTTAAAAAAATCTACGCTAATGTATCCTTATCATTGACTAACAATAATAATAAATAAATTGAAATTAATGTAATCCTGCTAAACAAGTACCTACCTAATTAGTCATACAGACAATAATAAATATCATTTCTCCATGATGTATTAAGTTTGTTTGTTCAATAAGTTTGGGTCAGTATTTTAAGCAAAACGAAAATTAAATGTTCATGTTTTATGCACAATTCGAATATTGATTTTTTTCAATTGACCAAAATTCTCCAATTGAATAAAACGCGAGTTAAATCGATTGAAGCAGTTTAGTGAGTGGTTAGAGGTCGGATCAGATCCCAACTATGGGAACCCAAGAAATATGGTTTCTAGCATTGTTTGTGGCTGGGAGCCATGGAAAATCTGCTGTGACACAAAGTTTAGATGGAACATGGACAACATCGGCATTTACAAAGACAAACTACTGTAAGTAGGTATATAATATTTCAGGCAAACAATATTAGTCATTCTAAGGCATACACAACAAAATGTACTTTTGTGATTTTTTCCATAGGATTGATTTTACTACAGTTTAATTTAAAAAAATGTTGCTGTCAAGTAACATTAACATAATTATGTATATAACCTTAAATCACCTACAATAAGCTTTAAAACATAAACTTGAAAACATATTTTCTTTTTGTTGCTTCAAAGAATTTATCAATGTCATACAAAACATTTTTTGTCTTAAATGTAGGTGCCTGTTCTTAATGCATTTCGCTTGATTTGAAGTCATTGACTTATTATCAACCCAAAAATTTGATGAAAGATGAATAATAGGATCCAGGCCAGAGAGGATATCTATTTCTTCTTGAACGAATAATGATACTGATTTTTTTTAGATTATGAGTTTCCAGCAATAGTTCCAGGCGGTATTTACACTGACCTAATGAAATCAGGAATAATAAAGGATGTTTTCTATGGATTTAATGACAACAGCACTAAATGGGTGGGCAACATCAATTGGACATACACTCTAAATTTTACAGGTGAACTGATCGAAATTAGACATAAAAAATGTATATCTATATGTTTTTCAGTTGAAGAAGGCCTCATGAAATATGACACCGTTAACTTAGTCTTTGAAGGTGTAGACACTTTCGCTAGCATAGAATTGAACGGAGTAATCATTGGAGAGACACAAAACATGTTTGTCAGATACGTTTATGATATTAAAAATGTTCTTAAGGTATATATTTAACATTGAAGAAAAAAATAAATGTTAAGTAATATTGTTGGTTGTTAGGCTCAAGGCAATAACACAATCAAAATTTTCTTCGCAAACCCAGTGGAAAGAGGTCTACACCTCAACAACAAACAATTGGAAAAATACAGAATTCCCTGGGAATGTCCTCCAGATGCTTACCATGGAGAATGCCACATTAACATGCTCAGAAAGATGCAAGCGTCGTTTTCATGGGATTGGGGCCCATCTTTCCCTTCGATGGGTTTATGGAAACCCGTTTATCTTCAAGCCTATGATGTGACTGCATTTAGACATGTCGTTCCACGTGTAGTAGAGGATGAACAAAGCTGGATTGTTTATGTCGACGTGTATTTTGAGAATAATCAACGTAGTTATGTGCAGGGAAAATTAACGTAAGAGTTTTGTTTTGTTCATTCAATAACCAATCCGACCTCAATTGCACAACATCAGGTCACATTCAAATTGTATAATTCTCGGGGATTGTTTTTGGTATAACGAGTAAAGTTCAATTTATTCTGTTAGTACAAAAAGCCGGTTGTGGTTACAACCTCAAGTACTTCCTAGAAGACTAAAACTTTTATATCAGATCGTCTTAAACTTGACTGTTTTAGGCTTAAGCTCCACTGTGACCTAACGGAAATTCTCTACAATATCTCCGATGTCAATGCTACAATGAATGAAAATGGCGAAATAGCCACTTATGGTCAAATTGCTAATATCGACAAGGGTTGGATACACGAGTGGTGGCCAAATGGATATGGCGACCAACCACTCTACGAACTTGAAATAATTTTTGCTAGTGGTGACAATTATCAAGATGTGATCATTAAAACTCAACGGATTGGATTTAGAACTGTAGAGCTGGTACAAGAACCACTTGGTAAGTAATATTACTAACCATCAGTGGAAATTACTTCTAAAATTTCTAAAGGCACTGGCGCTACATTCTACTTCAAAGTGAACGGAGAGCCGATATTCGCAAAAGGTTCCAATGAAATTCCTATCAACGTTTTACCAGAATTGGGTCAAGATAAGGAGACAATTGACTTCCTTCTACGAAGTGCCAAAGATGTCAATATGAATATGCTTCGTGTATGGGGAGGAGGTGTTTACGAGTCCGACTACTTTTACGAAGTAGCCGACAAACTAGGAATAATGATCTGGCAAGATTTCATGTTTGCATGCTCTTTGTATCCAGCAACTGAGGAATTTCTGAATAACGTTGTTGCTGAAGTTAATCATAACACCAAACGTCTTTATTACCATCCGAGTATTGTGATTTATTCAGGAAACAACGAAAATGAAGGAGTTTTGGTTGATAACTGGTATGGAACGAGAGACAATTTCTCTCTATACAAGTCTGATTATGTGGATCTCTACATCAATACTGTTCGCAAGGAGTTCAACAGGATAACTAGGAACGGGGCTATTTTTATTAGTTCCAGCCCTACTAATGGAAAACTTACGGAATCTGAAGGATGGATTGGACAGAGTCCTGGAAATCAATATTGGGGAGATGGTGAGAATTTTTTAATAAGTGAAATTCGACAATATGTTGATAAATAGTTAATATTAGAGTAGATACCCTGGTGTAATGTAACCACCATGAGAATGAAGATGACAAACCAGAAATTGAACCAAACTACACAAGTTTGAAAAAGTATATTTATTTCTAGTTCACTATTACAACTATGTCTTGGATCCATGGAACCCAGACACCTACCCAATCCCAAGATTCTGCTCGGAATACGGCTACCAGTCACTACCTTTTAAAGACACTTGGTTAACTGCAACTAACAACACAGCCGATCTAGTGATTTCTGGTGATTTTATGAAGTGGAGACAGCATCATCCTGCAGGCAATGCTGAAATGGCTTTATTGATTGCGGAAAATATAAATCTCCCTGATATGAAGAGTGATGCTTATACTAATGCCTTCATTTATCTTTCACAAGTTTACGCGTCGCAATCTGTTAAAGTGGAAACTGAACATTATCGTCGATATAGGAGTTATTTGACAGATAACGGTAAAGGTTACACTATGGGAGCTCTTTATTGGCAACTTAATGATGTTTGGGTGGCACCAACTTGGTCTAGTATTGGTAAGGGTTTTGTTCAATTATTAACACATCTGTCTGCCCCTAATTAACCGAAAAATACTTCTTAAAGAAATTGCCTCTTTTTCCAATTTTTCTTCTCATGCCTAACTTTGTCAATAGTTCACTTCTCTTGTCTTTATGTCAATAAATTTTGCCTTCTATAATCTACTTTCAACTAAGAATCATTTATTTCTACAGACTACACTGGAAGATGGAAAATGCTTCACTACTTCGCCAAAGACTTCTTTGCCAACATCATAGTAACCGGGTATATAAATGTCGCAAGAGTACTACAAGTTTATACTGTCAACGATCAACTCTCGCCAGTAGAAAACGTCAGCATAATTGTCAAGGCCTACAAATACGATAGTCCAGATTTTATACCGTTCATTGAAGATTGGGTAACGGAAGATTTGAATGCCAGTGCTTCTCAATTAGTTTACACCAAATCAATCGATGAAATATTTTCAAGATTTAACCTGGACAAATCTAGTTGTTTTTTCACATTTGTCGTACATAAAAACTCTTCGTTAACTGACTATGTCCACATTAGTCCAGTTAATTACATTTTCCCAGGAAAACTAAAGGATTCCACTTTGTCTTCTGCTAATGTGACAATTTCTTCAGTAACCAAAAGTGGCGACAATACTTTTGATATCACAGTAAAATCCGACAATATTGCATTGTTTGTATGGTTGAATTCTCACGAAATTAAGGGGATATTTTCGGAAAATGGATTTTTGCAACTTGAAAACTTGAGAGTGGTAAGCTTTAAGAGCTCCACCAACAACACTGTGGATGAATTAAGGGATACTTTGACTGTGACTCATCTTAAGGATTCCAGATGGGTTTAGAAATAAGTTTTAATTAATAAACTAACTATTTCAAATTACGATTTTTGTGTTTTAGTAAATTCAATTTCTTTACAGCAATTATTTGCGTTGAAACGGAGTTTTTTTTTTGTTGAAAATGCTACTTCTTTTCGATGCTTTCATGAAAACGAAATTAAGGCAGGGCACTTATTCCTACACCAACGCTTTGTGACATAGGTAGCAAAAGTGTGAAACTGAAAGGACGTTTGGTTTGGTTTCCTTTTGCTAAACTGTTGATTATAGCTTAATGATTAAAGCTTAAGCTAGACTTTAACCAAAGAAAAAAAAGAGTGAAGGCGTTACCAGCTTAGAGAAACCAGAATTACTCGTATTATTTATTAATTTGGTAATTACTTCATCAGAGGCTAGACATTTTTGGTTTCGTAGGTATATGATATAGGTTTTAATGTTATGGTAGCAATATTGAGTTTACCAAGACGCCGTTCCGGATCCTTCTTGTCTAACTGGGTCCGCACTATGTCCAATCTGTAGGATTTCGAGAGGTTGGAAGCTTTCTAAGGAAAAGTTTGCACATCAAAAAATTGGTACAAAATGAAAAACCGTTACATTTCCAGTTAGTTCTCCCAGATATTCTTCAATAGGGTACTTGCATGGAAAATTAAATTGATTATTGTTTATTGCAAACTGTAGGAAATCGAAAAAAAATCGTTACTTTTTTTTAATTTCGCCCAAATATGATTATTCCGGAAGTTATACAAATATTAAGTTTTGTATATATAGATATACTGAGCATGTGCAACGTCACAAATTTATATGATAAGTGACGTCATAGGCATATTTCATAGCGTTGTATCTCCGTCAATTTTTGACTAAGAAGAAAAAGAAAAAACACGTTATTTTTCATGGACTAATGAAATCAGCAATAAAAAAAATTGATGCAAGTATGCAAGAAATTGCATGAAAAATTTAAGTGATTATTGTTTCTTGCAAACTGTAGGAAATCGAAAAAAAATCGATATGTATTTTTCTATTTTTTCCAAATATGATTATTTCGAAATCTATACAAATATTAGAGTAGGTAGAGTCCAAAAACCCGATTGCGCTTCATCCCCTACTCTTCTGACGTCACGTCCCTGACGTTGGCCTTGAAAAGTGACCTAGTAAATGTACCGACGTCACACGATCTTGGCCTTAAGTTGCTGTGCGACCTTGAGTGTGCGCAGCCTTGAGTTGGCGCATGATCTTAAGTTGTCTGGGTACACTATTATATGAGAGAGTGTGCAACACATAGAGAGCACATTTCTGGTTGAAATGGGAAAAAGCATCAACTATAACAGATGAAGGTATTTTATGTGACATCGAAGGAAATGAAAGGTGGTGCTACATCATCTTCTATATCAGGCAACGAACCAATTTCCCTATCCCTGGATTGGATCATAATGATCTGATAACGAGTAGGAGTTGTTACGATTCATGGCTTGGATGGCAGAGATATTTTGAAATGCAGAAATATGGGAATGAAAAGATTCATCGACATGTCACGGTCACGGCATTTGATGGTGATATAAGACCGCCAGACCTTACACCTAAATGTCATCCTTGTTGTCACCCATGTTTCCTGATAGTGGATACGGTGCACTGGCGTATCCAGGGGGGGGGCAAAGGGGGCAATTGCCCCCCCCCCCAGAGTAACATATTTTTATTCCTTTTATTTTTTAAAAATTTGTCAAATAATAAAAAAATAAATTCAAAAATGTACTGAAATTAATTTGATAAATAATACTTTTTTCAACTACATGAACAGGTAGCTTTTTTGTGAATAGAAACTGTTCACTTGTACGCTGTGCTTGACAATCAGGGAATAAAAGTCAAAATACTAGTTTTATATTCAGCGTAATGTATATTACTAGCTGCCTAGCGCTTTCGCCTTTGAGCCATCAGCACTCATCAGGGCTCAGACTTTGTCAAAAGGCGACACCACCAAAAACACAAAAACCATCTTTCTGAAAAGCAATAATAATTGTCTGGTAAAGCTGGTAATGCAAAAGGTACCTTTATGATTCAATCTTTCTGTGGAATGTACAATCATTTAGCTCCTATTGCGTAACCTATATTTCAAATTTGGGCTTAATCCCTCGAAAGCCGAAGGAACTATAAAGAAAAAACTAAAAAATATATTGAAATTTCAACACCTTGTAGATCGGTAACGAAGCGTTTGCAAACCCATGTTTCTTTAAAATTTTATTTAGTCATAAGAAAAAACCAAAGAATCGCCCCCTTCCGTTTGTACATGCATGATATTTAGTATTAAGGAACACCCTGTAATATTTATATTTTAGTTAATCCAGTGAGCCGGGGAGCCACGAGACCTTGTCGTTGGTGGAGAGGCTCAGCGGCCATACGTCGCTGCAGAGATGTGGAGTCGTTTGGTCGTGACCAAGGGTGGCTCGCCATACCGGGAAAGCAGACGCACAGCATCCTGGTATGCTGGGTGTCTGCTAGACAAACAGCGTGGAGGAGGACACTCGACTCGGTCTCAGCCCGCAATCTGGGTCTCGCGGCCCTGTTTCGGGATGGGGCCGAGTTGACTGCCCTCCGTGGAAACCTGCCCGGTATATCTCGCGCTCTAAGATCGGTGGTTGATGAGGAAATATCTTAGAGCGTGAGGGCCTACCTTAACTGGTCGGCCAAGTGGAAGGCGAACCACAATAAAAATCCCTCCAAGTCACGGTGGAACAGCATAGGCCAAGGACTGCGTGGTTAGGGGAGAGCCTAATCGATACTATGCGAACTCCAGGGATGTGGCGACCCCACGGCTTAACTAGCCCGACCGGGGCAAGCGGGGCTCTGCCTCGGCCGTATGGTTTATTTCCCTAGCTACTCGTGGGACCTAACATGGACACACAAAATCAAACAATCAAGGCGAAGGATGATAGCGCCTCAAGCACATCCGAAAACATGGAAGTAGGGGACTGTAAAAGCCCCACTGACGTAGAAGAAGAACTTCTACGTTCAGACGAAGAACTCGGCAAAGATCTGAGTGCCCTACGACTGAAGGGCGACGTGAGGATCAGGCTGAGTGGCGCTGCCAGAAAGAGGATGAAATTCCTCAAAAAAAAAGGGATGAGTGCAGACGAAGCCCGCAAAAAGGCCCTTGAGCCAATCAAAGAAAGGGCTAAAACCTCTGACAAGGGCGAAAAAAGAGCCTGGTCAGAAGGAAACACCCCCGAGGCTCAAGCCAAAAAAAGAGCTAGGACAAGGGATACGGGCAGAAATGCCCCGCCCACAAAAAAGGAAACGAGCAGCAGTGCTCCGTCTTCCAGAGCTCCAAAACCAACCTTCAGCCAGATAGCTGGAGGCATAAAGGTAGGAATACTACCTACAGACTTCCCCAATTGCCTTTTGTCAGTGGAGCAAATTCAAGCCACCAAAGAGGCGATTATGGATAAGATCGTGGACGAGGTAGCATCGGATTGCCCGGTCAAACCGAAGTTTCTGAGTGCTCACAACAGACCCGGCTGGCTCGCTCTAGTTTGCGAAAACATAGCCACCAAGCAGTGGCTGCAAACTGCAGTCGCCTCCATCAAGCCTTGGGAGGAAGCTTCCCTAAGGATGGTAGAGGAATCTGACATTCCTCACTCTGACGTCCTGGTGGCTCGATTTCCAAGCAGCATGGATTACTCCACGGAGAAAATCCTCAATCTCGTTCAAGGCCAAAATGAGGGCCTAAACGTCAAAAATTGGCGAGTCATCCGACGCAACGCCGAGGGCCATCTGGTCACACTAACCCTTTCTGTGGACAGTGCATCCGCAGAAAAACTCAAATCCGGAGGCTACGCGGTAAGTTACAAGTTCGGTCATACGACTATAAAACCGCAAAGCAGCCGGAGCACAACAGCTGTGGAGCAACCAAGCTCCCCAAAGAAAGGCGGCGCCGAACCAAGGGCAGGAACGTCTAAAGACTCAATGAGTCATAAAGACGAAAGTGCGCAGGTGGAGTGCGAAAAGTGAGTGCGAATTCTAATGGCTCCCTCCAAGCAACCAAAGAGAAGTAACTCACCATGCATCAAATGCATCCAAATAAATCTTCAACACTCAAAAGCTGCCACTAGTGAGCTTAGAAGAAGAATGTTTAGACAAAAAATCAACGTAGGGCTACTTCAAGAGCCCTGGGTCAATGGAGGCTCTATAAAAGGCCTAAATATCAAATCATGTAAGTTAATCTACAACATTAACCACGAAAGACCAAGAGCAGCATTGCTGCTTGACAAAAATTTAAAATTTTTACCTGTTCCAGAGTTCATCACACAAGACTTGGCAGCTGCTTTAGTAGAAGTGCCAACGGAGGGGGGCTCAAGGCATATTCTCATAGCCTCAGCCTACTTTCCAGGTGATGATAACTCAGCACCGCCAGAGATCGTCCAACGACTCATTACGTGGTGCAGAGCGAGAAACAGACACTACATTATCGGGGCGGACGCCAACGCCCATCACCAGGTAGGATGGGGAAGCACCGATACAAACGCAAGGGGTGAGTAGCTTTTTGAATATTTGAACTCTAACAACGTAGACATTATCAACAAAGGTAACAAACCCACTTTTATTAACGCCGTCAGACAAGAGGTCTTAGACGTGACTCTCTCTGACACATTTACATCTAACACAATAACCAACTGGCTTGTGTCAAATGAACCCTCCCTGTCGGACCATCAAGCAATAAGGTTCGACCTAGAGGCAGTTATAAACCACTCAGTACAGACAAGAATCCCAAAACTCACCAACTGGGTATCCTTTGTGGAGGGTCTGTGCCTGAGTCTAGATGAACTCCCTTCTGACATAACTACAATAGAAGAGCTAGAGGCATCATCTGACAATCTAACAAATGCGATAAAAGATTCCTATGAGAACAGTTGTCTCGTAAAACAGAAGGTAGTCCACAGGGGTGTGCCTTGGTGGAACGGGCAGCTGAGACGTCTGAAACAAGATGCCAGAAAACTGTTCAACAAGGCAAAAACTAACGGCAACTGGGCAGACTATAGAACAGCCCTAGACAAGTACAACC